TTTTACTGCAGCTTATACCATGGTCTGGGTGAATACTCCTTTCTAATTGGCTGGCAGGTGTTGATTAAAACCGTGGAACCGCACAGGTAGTTCGGCCTATGGTAGTTTCACCGTTTGAAGTTCGAAATTCATCCGCTAGCCAACCTATAACCATAGCAACGTTAGAGCGCTGGCAGTTGGCTGGGTATAACAGAAACCAAGCTACTCATTTATCTCCAGTAAATTTTGCGGCGTTAAGTTACATCCTGCGGGGCGGTTAACAATAGGTGCTCAAGCGATAATGACCGTAAATATTAAAGCAGCGAAATAATCACGCTTTATTCATTAAACGATAGTAACTGTGTACAGTTACAAAGGAAGCTAACATGTCCACTTCATGTATCAGCAACTGCTGACAGTTCGCTAGTTACGTGCTGAGACAACAGACTGATTTCAGCTTGCTGGCTCTACGGAAACCGTCATAAGTTCATTGTAATTGCGGGTAGCAAGTTAGCAACAGTCTGCATAATCGCGCATAATGTTGTGTTATGCATAATCTCCGTTATGTTATGCATAGTGGTTAGCACTGTTGTCTCACAGCAAGAAGGTCATGGGTTCGATTCCAGCCTGGGGCCTTTCTGTGTGGAGTTTGCATGTTCTCCCCGTGTTCGTGTGGGTTTTTTTCCGAGCACTCCGGTTTCCTCCCACAGTCCAAAGACATGCAAGTCAGGTTAATTGGAGACACTAAATTGCCCATAGGTATGAGTGTGAGAGCGAATGGTGAGAAAATTTGAATAGTGTCTTGTAATGAACTGTGGAGGGCAGCATTACGCCGGACGGTGTACAGCCTGCCAGAATTTCAGATGAAGAAGAAGAAGCTTGGCATAGGCTATAGTATTGGCTATAAGAAGGCGCGGCGCCTATTTATTGAGTACCAGCTCGTTTTTTAAGTGCAAAACTTTCACCAAAATTTCTGATTGCTTTGATTTAATACTGCTGGCGAATCACCATGGTATAAGCGGGATAATCAACTCGTTGGTGTGAACGAGCATGCGCAGAACGACAAGAATTAATTTTAAAAGGAATAAACGTTTACATGATCGAGGAATTAATTAATTCGGATTTAAGATCGGAATAAACCAGCCACTTACTACTACTTTAAGTTTAATTCCGAATAATATTTTTATTCGGAATTAGGCGTTTACATGGTCTTTTTAAAGTGGAATTAATTTTTATTCGGAATTAAATTATTTTTATTCAGAATTAAAGCTCTCATGTAAACGTGGCCAGTGTCTTGTTATAAAATGTAACCAAATGTTAGGCCTATTGAAAGCACCGGTCTACCACAACTAAAAGCTTGTTAGACGGTAAGCTATTTTTTTTTTTAGTGCAGTTATGTGAGGCTAAATACATTTGCTGCTTTCCCCGTCCATAGTAGTAGCTACACTGCTTGGCTCCCAAACCGATGATTGGTCTTCTTGCCAGGCTCAATTGACGCTTGTCGACTGCTAGCTATGAACTAACTATGTGGCTAATACTTTAACCATGTTTTAGTATCTCATACACCCTACTTCAAAATTCGTGACAATCCTTCAAAATAAGGTAAATAGCTAGTGTCGGTGGGTAAATGTGCTCCCTGCTATCATTAACTTGAGTTAACTTAAGTTCAAATGAACTTGCAAGTTAGCTGGCTAACTAGCAACCACTTAAGTGAATGGTTACTGAATCTCAATTTACTGGAAAGATAGCTGGCCAACCATTTTTAATCTGTAAAAAACCTCTTTGTGCTGAACATGGCTTCGCTGCTAATAGTAAATCACACTATGTTCTGAATAAAGAGATTTTTCTAAATATATTTCCATTGCTACTGTACCTAAGTTACGGTGGCCTGTTATAGAATTATGCCAAACAAGCTTGCAAGCTAGCTAGCAGACTGGCTTTGCTTATTAGCAATAGATTGACTGTGAACAGTATATGACGCTATGGTCTGAGCAAAGATAATTCTAACTGTGAATTTTTGTAGGACTTTACAAATCACCATGGGTTAAATTCAGTTGTCCTGAGACCTAGCAACTTATGCATGCGTGATGTTAACGTTATCTCTCCCCTCTACAGTTGCATTCCAGCACGAAAGAATTCCTGCAAATAAACCAGTGGGCAACTTCCTCCCATAGAGTTGCAGTCAATCACGTCCGTCAATCATGACATCATGCCCCCTTTTTATATTATCCACTAACAAAATAAAACCAAACTTATCAGAAAAAATGAACACTTGAGCATACATCAGAAAAAAAATAATTTGACGTGCACTTTAATTTTCTAATGTGGCCCATGTCCCATTCACTGACATGGAGGGGGCAGGGTTATAACAGTACTGCAGCCAGCCACCAGATGGCAATCAACATGTTTTGCCCTCACTTTTGAGGAGCTGCTGGGTTGTCCATATTTCTTTACAATCAATGGTTTGTTCATACCAGTCATCGGTAGCGAAACGTAAGTGAGATGTGAGTGTTCTGTCATTCAATCAACACTCAATCTGTCTCCCTTGATAAACCAATAGTATTGAGGCGTCATAGAAAATGTATAAAGTTTTGTTTATTCCGACAATACAATGGTTAAATATCGATTCAGCGAGATTCAGCAAGAATGTTTTACCACCCATCTAGGGTGTCTGGGGAGAAATGTAGTTAAGGAGAGCTTGAAGCACGCACCCAAGGGTTACCATTGCCAAGGAATATAGCTTTATTTCCCTGACCTCTGTCACAAAAAATAATAAATAACGACTGGATATCTGTCACCACTTCTTGAAGAAACCAAAAAAAAAAACCAATATTAAGTATGATTATATTCCGTTCAATGTCTTGGTTGTGTCCTTCATTCATAAAATTTTTTTATGACATCACAGTTGTGATAACAGTTCAGCTTGAGGAGAAGGAGAGGAATAGTCCCAGATCCAAAGCAAACGATCTCATCTGCGAAGCATGCTGATGTTTGGACATACAGTGCTGTGCAAGTCTTAGGCACCCAACATTTTTTTTTAATCTGGCTTAGATGTTTACTTTATTCCACATTGGTGTTGCTGAAGATAAAAAGGTTTTTTTTTGAGTTTTTTTTTTTTTTTAAATTCCACATGCCAGTTCAAAAACTAGTAATATAAACAACTGTTTGTGCCAAATAGTTGACAGAGATAATATAGTCTTGACAGAGCCCTGATATCAGCAACATCTGCAGGATGGATGCAAGGGAGACAGTCAGTCTGCGGAAGAACGGAGGCGAATTTTCCACTCTGCTTGGAGCAAGCAAACGCCAATCATCTTACAAAACCGTTGCACAACAGGACAGTGTCCCAAATTTTTCAGCAAAGCGTAGACACACCAAATATTAATTTGATTTAGTTTTTAACAGTTTACAGCTCTGTATAGTATACATCTGTTATTAGAAACTTTTAATCAAATTATTTTTGCAAGAATATTTGCGCTGCAAAAATTTGCATTAAATGTGCCCAGGACTTTTGCACTATACTGTATATGGCCGCCAACAGAAGCCATGAACCAAAGGATGCTGGGAAACAACCAAAGACATCTTTACGGTTAAAAAGGAGAATGGTCCACATTAGCCAAGTCGGTCATGTGACCTGAATCAAAATGAGCATGCATTTCACTTTCTGAAGACAACACTGAGGACAAAATGCCCTACAGATAAGCAGGAACTGAAGACTGCTGCAACTGAGGCCTGACATCATCAGAGAAGCATCATCAGAGAAGAAACCCAGTGTTTGGAGATGTCAGTGGACCTCCGAATGTTTTATGCTTGAACATTGTACAGATAAACCAGATCACCATAGCCAGAGATTGCAAGCAGCCAACTACAGGCTGCATTAACACTGACCCTCAGCCCCAAATCAACTCAAACCCAAGGTCTGGTCCTCTGGGTATAGAGTAGCTTTAAACAAGCCAGTCAGCAGCAGCCTCAAATAATAAAGCCATTGTCCGTAAATCCAAACAAATATGCATATCTACATATGCCCAGGTATTCGGAGTGAACTAACTCAACATCTTCTCTGACCGAACACTCGCCCTATTGCTCAAAAGAGTGCTAAAAATACAGTTTTGTGCGGTTTTTTTTTTTTTTTTTTTTTAATGTGGTCCAGTCCACATAAGTTCTGCGGCGTTGAAATCAATGCAGGCATTATTTGGCTGTTGTTTACTCTGCTATTTATAAATACATTCTGAAATTAAGGCTGCACAGAATAGTTCAAAGCTTTATTCATAATGTTGACAATAAAATTCAAGATCAACATCAGAATGTTCTATTCATTCATTCTATTCATTCTATTTAAACCTGGTATTTATGCACAGCTGCAGACAAAGATTAGGCTTCACTAATATTATTAGTAATGTACTTTATGTAGAATTTGATTCGAAATGTGGACGCACAGGATTGTTTCTGGCCCTCATGATCCAAAAATTTCCAATAACTCCAGAGGATTGTAGCCTGAAATCCAAATGCCAAAAGTAAAAATTTATTGAAAAAACATGTAATCATTTCCAAAACTTAAAACGTTTTCATCTAATGAAATATTTGCTTCACCCCCATATTTCATGGGCATTATAGCGTTTCAAAGCCAAATTTTTCACCTTGGTCAAACACTGCTCTCCCCTTGCCTCAAGTACACACATCAATGGGGCAGAATAATATAGCTGAAAACTACATTAGTAACAAAAATTAGTAACAAAAACAAAAAAAGTTACAAAAATTTCCACTATTTCACCTATTTAGCTCTAAGATAAGATAAAATATACTTTATTGAACCCTGTGGGATCATCCTACAGTTAGGAGCATTGGGCAGCCACAGAGCAGCGCCTGGGGACCAACTCCAGCTCCAAAGCCAGTTCCTTGGTCAAGGGCAAAGGTAGGAGTATTCCAAAAATGCAGGTTTATCTGGTTGAGGGAAACAGGAATACCCGGAGGAAACCCACACGAACACGGGGAGAACATGCAAACTCCATGCTGTGAGGCCCTGGCTGGCCGAGCTCGAACTCGGAACCTCCTTATTGTGAGGCAGCAGTGCTAACCACTGAGCCACCGTGCCGCCCATAGTGAGAGATGCATGAAACACCTGCCTCTCACTATGTAGCCACCTTGATCTGCCTTCACTCACTAATCCCAACCAGTAACTCAGAGCTATAGCCACAGATTTAAACCCTTTTAAAATGAAATGACATCACATCAGAAGAGGGACACAAAACGTGCCAACCCCAATTCTGTCAACTGTGATGTCACAACAATAATGCAACACAAAAGCTGCCGATCAGAACAATGTGGACTGTCATCTAAAGACAAAGGCCACCTTCCTCTAACAGAGCCATCATTCTCAATGGGGATTTGCCCATGGCCAAGAATTGACAAGGATATTGGTGACAGAACAGGGCATAACACACAAAATAAAGGATGTTTTTTTTTCTGACATTGGCTCCGCAGAACTGCACTTAACACTAGTCCACTACCCGCCAACTTGGCTACCAAACTTCTAAGTTCATCAACAGTCCATCTCCGTGGACACGGGATAAGAATCATGCCAATAAAGTCACATGACTTTAGATCTACTGCTCGCAGTAGAGAACCTTAATAAGGCAGCACCACCAGCTTCATGCTAACTAGCACAGCAAAAACTTGCTTTCCAGTGCTAGGGCGTGCTCAGCCTTGAAAGGTTCATCGTCTACCCTACACCGCTTTTCCTAAAATAACGGCCCCTTATTTGGCGCTCTTCACTCCTCCCTTTACCTGAGATCCAGGTGTGAAATCAGTCTGGCCAATTACCACTACTAATAAGCAAGAGTCAGGAGAACAGAAAATCAGAGTTGGATTTAGGATTTGAATCCCCGATTTGGTGACCAGAAATAGCCTAGAAGCCAATAATAACACTGAGTTATTCTTCATTTCCAATGAGGACTGATCTAAACTTTCATAACTATGGAGGTTACACCTCAATGCCGACAAAATATTACTGTACAAACTCACTATCAGAGAAAACCAGCAGTTTGACAGGCCGTGAGGGCCAGTTTAGAGTATCGTCGGAATAAACAATCTATATCTTCAAAATTAGTCCGTTTACAATTCTTAACAAATGAATTGAAAAATCTTAACTAAAATCAAAAGAATAATAACAATGTTAAGCCAAAATGAAAACACAGAGCAATCCATTAATCACAAGGAGGAAATGAAAAAATCTACAAACACAATCCCAGTAAAGTTGGGACGCTGTTTAAAATGTAAATAAAAACAGAATGCAATAATTTGCACATCATTTAAACCCTACATTTAATTGAAAATAGTTCAAAGACAATATATCAAATGTTGAAACTGAGAACCTTTTTTAGAAAAATATTTGCTCATTTTGAATTTGATGCCAGCAACGTGTTTCAAAAAAGTTGGGACAGGGCAACAAAATATTGGAAATGTTATATATAATATATAAATGTTATATTGGTGAACCTCTGCCCATCCTTACTTCTGAGAGACTCTGCCTCTCTAAAATGCTCTTTTCACGCCCAGTCATGTTACTGACCTGTTGCTAATTAACCTATTTATTTTTAACCTGCTCCAGCAATTTTTTATTAGTACCACTTACTTTTTCAGCCTTTTGTTGCCCCTGTCCCAACTTTTTTAGAGAAGTGTTGCTGCCATCAAATTCAAAATGAGCAAATATTTTTTATAAAATGGTAAAATGTCTCAGTTTCAACATCTGATATGTTGTCTATGTCCAACTGTGATTAAAATATGGGTTTATGAGATCTGCAAATCATTGCATTCTGCTTTTATTTACATTTTACACACCATCCCAACTTTTTGGAACTGGGGTTGTACAAGCTACAAAAGTCTCTCAGGAAGCTTATGCGCTTCCCAAATGCTTTATCCCAGGAAAGAGCACAGAGCAAATCTAGTAAACATTGTCTCAGCCTGCCAATGGTAAACATGCCACCCCGTCTGTCTATGCTGTGTGCGCGCGCGTGTGTGTGTATGCGCATGTGAGCAAGTGCATGTGTAAGACAGAGGTAGAGAGAGAGAGAGAGAGAGAGAGAGAGAGAGAGAGAGAGAGAGGTCTACAACTTATTAGGATAAATGTACTTTCTCCCATGATCAAATTACCAAAGCATGTCTAAAAACTGCCTCCTCCCTGTACCACATTAGAAAAGTATGTTGAAATCTACTCCTTCCTAGGACTACATTACAGAAGTATGTTCAAATGTAATTCCTCACAGGACTACATTACCGAAGCATGTTTAAATGTAATTCCTCACAGGACTACATTGTTAAAGCATGTTAAACTAGATAACTCTGTCGCCACAGGGATCGAGTCGTGTACCTCCCCGATCCCCAAATTTCGGACAAAATGGCCGCCGGCATTTTTGGACGTCCAACATTGCCAAAAATCGGTCTTGAGCATTGTCAAATAAATATCTTCGCCTGTGCAAAATTAGAAAAAATTCCTGTAATAATTGTCGCTTCCAGAGCCCAGAACAGAAAATCTCTGTGGGCGTGGCGGCCCCAGAACTAAACCATAGTATCTCCCGACTATCGTCGTCGGGGAGATACAAATAGAATTCCTCACAGGAATATATGAACATTACCAAAGCATGTTTAAATGTAATTCCTCACAAGACTACATTACCGAAGCATGTTTAAATGTAATTCCTCGCAGGACTACATTGCTGAAGCATATTTAAATGTAATTCCTCACAAGACTACATTAGCAAAGCATGTCATAATGCAATTCCTCGCAGGACTACATTACTGAAGCATGTTCAAATGTAATTCCTCACAGGAATACATTACCAAAGCATGTTTAAATGTAATTCCTCACAGGACTACATTACTGAAGCATGTTTAAATGTAATTCCTCACAGGAATACATTACCAAAGCATGTTTAAATGTAATTCCTCACAGGACTACATTACTGAAGCATGTTTAAATGTAATTCCTCATAGGACTACATTACCGAAGCATGTTAAAATGTAATTCCTCACAGGACTACATAACTGAAGCATGTTTAAATGTAATTCCTCATAGGACTACATTACCAAAGCATGTTTAAATGTAATTCCTCACAGGACTACATTACCAAAGCATGTTTAAATGTAATTCCTCACAGGACTACATTACCAAGGCATGTTTAAATGTAATTCCTCGCAGGACTACATTACTGAAGCATGTTTAAATGTAATTCCTCACAGGAATACATTGCCAAAGCATGTTTAAATGTACAACCAGTGGTTAAAGTGGGATTTGACAGGTGGGGGAACCCTAAAATTCGGTGTCGCGGCGCAGTGGGGGAAAATGACACAAATGATTGCAAATAACTGTATTCGCTTTATTTTTGGCCCATTGGGACTATGACATTGAATTTTCGTATTCGCATAATCAGGAAGTGGGCATAACAAGAGAAAAGCAGTGATGGATTTGGCTGAAAACTTGCAGAATAATGGGAAGCGTGACAGTGAAGATATTCTACTGTTACAGTATTTTTCATTTCCAAAAACAGTAAATCAAAACTATTACATAATTACCAAAATGAACAAGTAACAGAAATCTATGAATCTTTTTGTGATTTCAAGACACTGTCCTGACACTAAACACATATTCTACTTCCAAAATGTTTTGATTTCCAATGCAAAATTATGGCTAGATGTATCAAGATGGATCTCTAATAATTTTATGCTCTAATGCAGTAAGCGACTATGCTTTTGGGAAACGCATCCCTGGATAGTACAGGACGCTGCGATGCTGCCAGCATAAGCTACATAAAAAACGTGCTGCTCAGCGCAATGATTTTCAAGTAACTCTGCCGCTAAATAGCTGGCGACTGTAGATGTCAAAGAAAGATATGCACAAGAAACGTTACTGCTGAGCCAGAAACACAAACCAACATTGCTCGTATAACTATCGGTGCAATTGAGCCTTTGTCAAACTCGCTAATAATTTTATTAATGCACTAGCTAGCTGGTAAGCAGCCTGGTTAGCGTTTTGCACATAGCCTAAAGCAGCTAACGTTAACCCTTTTTAAATTTAAATTCTTTTAGTTGGCCGGTTGGAATTGTTGAATATTACAAAACTTCACCATCGACTTCAACTTAAGTTAATCCACTTACTTTGGCTATAAACGCCGTTTCCAACATTGACAATTCCTCTCAGGCTGGTACGTGACCAACGCACTGCTCTCAAATGAAATACAGCATACGACACAGCTGCGTTTTAGTGAAGGCAGGGCTAGCAGAGACTGATGTAGTGCTCTGATTTGTTGAGCATCTTGGTGCGTTTGAGAGAGTGGCAGGCAGGCTGTAATTGAAACCAGCATGCGAAAATGATCTGTAGTCTGTGGCGCTACTGTTAAGGCACTTTCACACTGGACGCGAAACAAATTTTTCGCACGACAGATTACATTCAAAGTCAACACAAAAGACGCAAATACACATGTATTCACATCTTTGCGTTGACTTAAAATGTAATCTGTCGTGCGAAAAATTCGTTTTGCTTCCGGTGTGAAAGCAGCTTTCGTCAAATAAATATTTAAATTAAAACTAAGGTGGCGGAACGCAGTTCCGGACCATTCCGGCCCACTTTAACCCCTGTGTACAACCCCAATTCCAAAATAGTTGGAACGAAGTATAAATTGTGAATAAAATCAAATGACTTTCAAATCACACCAGCCAGTATTTTATTCACAATAGAACAGAGATAACATAGCAAATGTTGAAACTGAGAAATTTTTCAATATCATCCGCAAAATGAGCTCATTTCAAATTTGATGGCTGCTACAGGTCTCAAAAAAGTTGGGACACATGCAAAAAAGGAGGGAAAAAGCAATTAATATATAAGAGAATCAGCTGAAAGAACATTTAGCAAGTAATTAAGTTAACTGGCATCAGGTGTGTTACATGATTGGCTAAAAAAGGGATGTCTTAGAGAGGCTAAGTCTCTCAGAAGTAAAGATGGCCAGAGGCTCTCTAACCTGTGAAGGCTTGCGTAAAAAAATTGTGGAATACTTTAAAAACAATGTCAAATTGAAAAGGCTTTGAAGGTCTCATCATTGA